CTATTTTCAGCTGCACCGCTTCACCGTTTAATAGCCCAGCGCTTGTTAAAAGGATTACACAGCTGCCCCTCTGCACGTCTGCCGGTAGAAGCACTGTTGTTGCTTTTCCCGCTCAAACGCCTGATGGGAGATGCAAAGTTAGCCGGCACATTGAAATGAGCCGCAGATGATTTGGCCGTTCCATATCGCAGTGACCTTTAGAAGGCCAGAGGCACTCCCCAACATCGATTACATAAATTGATCCTCACACATTCAAAGGATATTAATTAGACATAGAAAACAAGTGGGCCAACACAAAAGCTCTTAGTTTAAATGCAATACAAATAAAGTTGCGCTGTGAAATCCACACACACTGCTGTTGTTTGTTGTTGTTTGTCTGAGGAGGGTCACTCTTCAAGGCTTCGTCACTGTGTGTGTGTCTCATGTCTGCTGTAACATTTATTATTTTGGTCACTATTGGAGCCAAACAAATGAGAGTGACAGTTATTAGGGGCGCTCTGATCAATAGTGTTCTGACACAGTGTCATGTCTGAAGCAGAATGCATGCTGGGATGTCATCGCTGTGGCCCAGGACTTGTCCGTGTCAGCAGCAGCTGTCAAACAGGTCCAGAGTCATACAATGTGTGCCAAAGCTAACAGCTGTTAAGTACGTGCTGCGGCGCACCACAGCGCTCCGCGTTACTCCAGCATCACAGTGGAAATTGGCAGCAGCACAGGGACATGAGGGATGCAGCGCAGGCTAACCTATCCTCTCAGCCCCCCGGGAGCCACTTGGCCAGCTTTCATCCACATAATTATAATAAATTTGACATTTCATAGATAATATTGATTTCTTTATTTTAGCATTTCACCATAGGTGACAGTCGAGTGTCAAGAATGAAATTTCTATTGATCTTCTGCGCATTAATCCCTCATGTGTATGTGATCATTTTTATAAGACCTTTTACTGCACATAAATCAATATTTCATATTTCCAGCCATGCCAGAGGAGATGTCATATTTGTAAACTGCGTCTTGACACTAGCAATTCCTTTCTTGTTCAGCTGCAACTGTGCAAGACCAGTCAATTTGGGAAAAGGGGAGCGGAGGGAGGGGCCGCTCCTGTCTGCTCCTCCAAACACCCTTCTCCTGAAGATGAAAGATCATTCTTACTATTCATTAGCTTCAAATGGATGGAGCTTATTAATAATGAAAATAAAACGACAAATCACTTTGAACTGATTAGATCCATGTTGTAGCAGGATATTTAACACTTTCCACATCTGTCACTTAAGCCATCGTTTCAGAGAACATAATGTCCACTTGCTTTGGCTCAGGGGGGAGGGATTAATCACCTTTTCATTTATCTAAATTGTGCTTTTTTATTGGTCTGCCAAACTTCTGTAACAGGCCTGCTTTGGTTTAACTCTTCTTTTCAGCCAGAATATCTGTCGGGGAGTTTTCAGGATGACGGACTCTCGCCTCATGGTAATCGGGCAGACTCCGGTGCATCGTGGCGTCTGTGAGCCAGTGTAACATGACAATAGCCGTGGAGAATGCACAACAGTTTGGTGAAAAATATGATCACCTGAATAGTGCAGACACCTGACCTTTTCTCAGTCTCCCTTAACATGTCCCTTCCATACAATCAGTGTGAGCCGGCGCACAGAAAGGCCAGTCCATTACCAGAATATGCTAATTTTGCCATCCACTCCTAATTGATGCCATTTTACCAAGTAAACAAGACTTCTGTCTACAATGGATGTGTTTCTGCCAGTTAAAAGGATATTTCAGATCGGCTTTTTGCAGTAATTTTCTCCGGGAGAGCTATTGGTGTGCCATTATTGCAAATTATAAGTCTCTGCTTTTGAAGAGAGCTGCTATTCTTGCTGTCTTGTTTTTTTCCCTCTGCTACTTAAAGGCCATCCTCTGTTTTTGTCCACGACTGGAGAAGATTCATTCACGTGAAAGGTGTCAGCGGTGCATGACAGACAGTGGCATCTCATCCACTCTTTGGACCAACGGTATATTTTCATGTACATTGTGCTGATAGAGTTCACATTTATCATCTGAAACTCAGAACATTGTGTGCTCATCCAGCGTGGATCTTATTTCCTAAAGATGTTTTGTTGTTTCTGCATCAACCAAAAAAAATGTATATTATCTGAGCATGTTTAAAATAATTATACAGTACCTGATTTATTTCAAAAGAGTTCACAAAAAATGTGTTACTACTTACAAGCTGCATTAGAAACCATAATTTAATTGAGAAATTGAGCTCGTTGATTGTACTTTGTTTGAGTTCTGGCCATGCAAAGTGCTGAGTTGACACTTTGCGTGACGCTAGTTCTTCTCCACTTGCACAACAAGGGACAGCGCTGTTGTAAAAAGGCCACGCCTCCTCTAGCGCGTGCCCATCGCAGGTTAACAAGAACAGCATGGCAGCCGAAGGACGATCAACGCAGAAAGTGGCGATACCTCCTCTGGCTGTAACTGCATAGACAGCAAAACAGCCCAAAATGGCAGTTATTCTACTTGAATAACCGCCTTTACTTGGTAATTTTTCAGTTATTGTACTGAATATACTGTTAACTGTGTGTGCTTTTGTACCATTTCATCAGTGATTGTTGTGCTAATGCTAATGTTTGCATACCTATCAGATCGCTACTATAACTAGATGGCTCTTTGAGAGGAGTGCATAGGTAGGAGGGTTTCTCAAAATGAGAAGCCTGTGAGGGAGTTGGTGGCGGTGCTAAATATTCAAACCATAAAAAAACCTTGCAAAATCAAGTATAGCTCTTTTAAATAACCTGCGTGAGATCAATAGTCTTTCTTATCTTATCTTATGTCAAACTTGTATACTTTTTGAACATATTAGAATTGTTTTTTTTTCAGTTGCATTTAAGTAATTGTTCTCACAGTTTCCCATCTTTTTTTGCAGATATGTTGTTTTATTTATTCTTTTTTATGGCATCTTTGCAAAAATAGTTATCTTCTCTCTCCACATTGTGATACAATTTTCAACTCAGACGGACGTGGACCTGTGTCTCATGTCACACGGCAACAAATGGATCACTAACACAATCCATCAAACTCATTCCTATAGCTCCAAAATACTTTGGCTGAGAGAGTGGTCCTCTCTTTTTCAATCACCTCTCAGCAGAAAGCATCAAATAGTGACTTCAGGACTCTTTCTTACAAATGTGCAAAAGATCAAATGATGATAAACACAACATGCTGTGGTCTGATTTATTCACATGTTTCTTTTACTAAAATAGAAAATAAAATAATAAAGATCCTTTATTTTTATTTTTTTTACATTTCAGAGCACACAACACAATAACCGTGCTTTGTGATCCTGGTCTGTGAAAGGCGTTATACTTACTCACTTATTTACTAACTTATACTAATATATAATAAATCTCCAATTTTAGCATAATAAAGAAGCAATTATAAAATCTCTAGCTTTGGCATAACAAGGAAGCAAATCTAAAATAGATTAATCATGGGGGGGGTGAATTAAGGTCATAATAACACACAAAAAATAAGGTTTACAATATCGAACAAGTGGATGGATTATAATTATATGAAAGAGGAGTCCAATATCTCTCCTTTAAGCCACTATCACTATGAAATGTCACTTTACGTGAGATAATACTGTATGACTCAACTTGCCTTTTTCGTGAGCTGCTATTCTTGCTGCATGTTTATTCTCACTGCTTAAAGGCCAGGCAGTTTAGTCCGTCACTGGAGAGGATATGTGTCAGTGCCATTGACAGACTTGGACTCAGGGAATTGTCAGTAAAACAGCAACATTTTACCGGACAGAAGCTACTGAAGCTTTTACTCTTCAGAATGGACGACTGGCAATATTTTAATTCATTGTGTTTGTGTGAAAAGATGAGACAGTGAGGAAAAGTTATTGTGTTGTACTCACAGATGAAATACACACAAGTTGTTGCATGGAAGTCAGCATTTATAAAGTAATCTGGTTAGGAAACATTTTATATTGGCTGAAAAATAAATTCATGTATTGTGTGTACTTAGTGCACAAAATAAGAAATGTTATCTATTTTTACTTTATAACTTGTTTGCACCGAGAGCCAAAGAAAATTTCTAGTTTGTCACTTCCTCTAAGCAATTATTGGACAATGTTATTTCTTAAGTGTGTATTTTAATTGTAGTCAAATCATTTATAGCAGGCTGTTTGAAGTCTCAAAAAACACTGTCGTTGCTATGAAGAAAGAAAATAATGATGATTTTAACCTTGTTGAATCTAGGCAATTTTGGCAATGTAGCATATTTGCTTCTTTGGGTTCTTGGGTACAAACAATACATTTAATTAAACCAAAAAGTCCATTCCATTCCATCTTCTTCCGCTTCATGGGGTGCCGGGTCGCGGGGGCAGCAGTCTAAGCAGAGACGCCCAGACTTCCCTATCCACACACACTTCCTCCAGCTCGTCCGGGGGGACCCCAAGGCGTTCCCAGGCCAGCTGAGAGACATAGTCTCTCCAGCGTGTCCTGGGTCTTCCCCGGGGCCTCCTCCCGGTGGGACGTGCCCGGAACACCTCCCCAGGGAGGCGTCCAGGAGGCATCCGGAACAGATGCCCGAGCCACCTCAACTGGTTCCTCTCGACGTGAAGAAGCAGCGGCTCTAATCCGAGCTCCTCCCGTGTGACTGAGCTCCTCACCCTATCTCTAAGGGAGCGCCCAGACCAAAAAGACCAAAAAGTCATACGTTTTTTTTGCCATAGCCGTTGAACTTTCTGTTGCGTATTTGTAACCGAGGGTGCTAGGGGGTAACGCTCCATCACTAGATACAAAAATATGTGTGTGTAAAAACGGGGATTGTCAAAGCAATGTTGCCTGGAACACTGGAAAACAAAGATATACTGCATGCATGAATTAAACACTAAATCTAAATGTTAGAGTGTGTCAAGGCAATCATAACTCTGTATCTCCCTCTTAAACGTCGATCATGCACAATACGTTTCAATCCGGTAACTTTGGCTCCATTATATGTACTTTTCTCCACACGCCAGTCGCTACACCCTGAGACAGGCCGATGATGTCTCCTCTGCCTGCGCTGCGCTCATCGCTCAGGCGTCTGGCTGGCCTTCAGCACAGCGCCCCCCGTGAGCGAAGTGTCCCAGATTCATCTTCATGTGTCAGGCCTGTAATGCAGTATGAGGCGGGCGCTCCACCGCTGTAACGCTGATGGATAGGCTGTCTGCATGTGGGCCTATGCACTTTGTACACATGGAGGATACTATAGGCCCGTCACCATCACTTCTCAGAGCTGGGACGGACAATTAGGAGCTGTGTGCAGACTGTCAAAATCAAGGAGGAAAGCCTCAGATCAGGTATGTTTAGAAACGCAGCTTTCATGCAGTAAAATATATCCAAATCCACATTATTTATATGGAAGTTTTCATACTCAAAAGATATCCCAAAGTGCTGGACAAGAGCAGGCAGTAAGAAAATGAAACGGGCAAAATTTGGCAAACAATACAAAGAAAATTCCAAAACTGACTACCCTGGTTTGAAGCAAGAAAACAATTCAAATCCCAAAGAGCAGAGAAACATAAAATAAGATCAATGAAATAAAATAGTATAAAATAAAAGCACAGAAGACCATGTAACTCAGTGTTGAAAGTAGGTCCTATAACAAGACTGTATTCCGAAAGAAATGTATTGATTATATGTCATCAAGAATGTATTGCTCACCCAAAAAAGTCCAAAGGTATGTATTTATATTGTAATGTTTTGGCCTTTGTAGTCTTGAAATAAATATAAGGTTAAGATATACTTTATTGTCATATTTCTTTTGCATTTTCGAGTGTACAATTCTTTGGCATTTACTCTTCATAAAGAACTTTTTGGTGTGCAATATCTACTCTCTTTGAATCATGTATTTCAACTATTGTCTATTAATGACATTTGAAGGCCCCAGCGATAGACACTGTATCGGATTTTGTTCTTACAAAATAAAATGCTTTCAGCAGCCTAGAATTTCTCACTAATTATTGAGAGGTTTTTTACAACTTTTAGAGCTCAGAACAAATTCTGTCACAGTAGCAAATGATAGCGATGTTCTATCTTTTAGTTAAATAATTAAATAACATTTAGTAAGAAAAATAACAATGGATTTTTTTCTTTCTGCAGCTGTTATGTGTGTTTTTAACCAAATGTATTATCTCTAAATTATCTATGAGCTTTTTGGTAGGCAAATGGTAGGCCAGGAATTACCCAAATACAGACAGTTTATCAAATGCCCGACCAGAGAGGAGAACACTCTGGATCACTGTTACACCACCGTGCGCGGAGCTTTTCGCGCTGTTCCCAAGCCAGCCCTCGGCTTCTCAGATCACTCCATGATACATCTGGTTCCTGCTTACAGACAGAGACTAAAGCTCTCGAAACCTGCAATGAGGAGCTCCAAAGTGTGGTCTGATGAAGCTGTGGAAGAGCTGCGCGCATGCATGGAATCTACAGACTGGGACCTTTTCAGAGCTGCCACAGATAGTTTGGACGAATACACGGACACTGTGACGTCATACATTCACTTCTGTGAGGATAGCATCATTCCAACAAGGACCAGGGTCATCTATAACAACGACAAACCCTGGTTCACTGCTAAACTCCGGCAGCTCAGGAAAGCAAAGGAGTCTGCTTTCAGGGAGGGGGACCGCAGCGGCTACAAAGCAGCTAAATATCAGTTCAGGAGAGAACTGAAAGCAGCCAAGTCCCGGCACAGAGAACGACTACAGGAGCAGTTTGGTAACAACGATACTGCTTCTGTCTGGAGGGGCCTACGGGAGATCACCAACTACAAACCCAAAGCCCCCCCCTGTGCTGATGACCACAAGCTAGCTGACGATCTGAACTTATTTTTCAGTCGCTTTGATGCTGCCCCTGACACCTCTCCCTCCCCCACCCCCCACTACTCTAATGACCCACCCATCAGCCCTGCCCCCAGCCTAACAATAGCCGCTAAAGAGATTAAACAACTCTTCCTGAGGCTGCACCCCCGCAAAGCTCCTGGCCCGGACCACGTGTCTCCGGCCACTCTGAGACACTGCGCCAGTGAGCTTACTCCTGTGTTCACGGACATTTTCAACACCTCTCTGCAGTCCTGCCATGTCCCGGCCTGCTTCAAATCCTCCATCATTGTCCCCGTCCCGAAGAAGCCCAGGATCACAGGACTCAATGACTACAGACCTGTAGCACTTACGTCTGTCGTCATGAAGTCATTTGAACGCCTGGTTCTCTCCCATCTCAAGTCCCTCACCTCCCCCCTCCTGGACCCCCTGCAGTTCGCCTACAGAGCCAACAGATCTGTAGACGACGCCATTAACCTGGCCCTCCACCACATCCTACAGCACCTGGACTCCCCGGGGACCTACGCCAGGGTCCTGTTCGTGGACTTCAGCTCTGCCTTCAACACAATCCTGCCATCCCTGCTCCAGGACAAGCTCTCCCAGCTCAACGAGCCCGATTCCACCTGCAGGTGGATCACTGACTTCCTGACGGACAGGAAGCAGCGAGTGCGTCTGGGGAAGAATGTCTCGGACTCTCGGATTATAAATACAGGAGCCCCACAGGGCTGTGTTCTTTCTCCCCTGCTCTTCTCCCTGTACACCAACCACTGCACCTCCAGCCACGACTCCGTGAAGCTGATCAAGTTCGCGGACGACACCACCCTCATTGGACTCATCTCCAACAACGATGAGTCCGCCTACAGGAGGGAGGTGGACCGGCTGGTGTCCTGGTGCAGTGGTAACAACCTGGAGCTGAACGCCCAGAAGACAGTGGAGATGATTGTGGACTTCAGGAAGAGCACTGTCCCCCCACCCCCACCCTCCGTGATGGACTCCCCCATCACCTCTGTGGAGTCCTTCCGTTTCCTGGGCACCACCATCACCCAGGACCTCAAGTGGGAGCCGACCATCAGCTCCCTCATCAAGAAGGCCCAGCAGAGGATGTACTTCCTGCGGCAGCTCAGGAAAGCCAAGCTGCCTGCACAGATGTTGGTGCAGTTCTACACGGCCATCATTGAGTCCATCCTCACCTCCTCCATCACCGTGTGGTTCGCTGGAGCCACAGTCAGGGACAAACAGAGACTACAGCGCATTGTGCGCTCTGCAGAGGAAGTGATCGGCCGCAGCCTTCCATCGCTGCAGGACCTGTACGTCGCCCGAGCTCGAGGCCGGGCTGGTCGTATCACAGCCGACCCCTCTCACCCTGCACATGGACTATTCCATCCACTCCCCTCAGGCAGGAGGCTGCGGTCCATCAGGACTAGAACCTCCCGCCATAAGAACAGTTTCTTCCCCTCTGCTGTTGGACTCTTGAACACTTCTTAACCTGTCCCCCCGCCCTTTATAAAGTCACTTTACTGCCCATCATACGTCACTTTACTTCACTGTACTGCTGTCACCTTACATTGTGTGCACCATGTGCACTTGTATATTGTAAATAGTAACTGTAACTCTATTTTATTTTTAAATTTATTCTTTAGAAGTTTTTTATTCTTATTTTTATTATCTCTTTTTGACTGTTGCACTGAGCCAAAGCAATTTCCTAGTCTGTGACCTCCTGTTACTTACGTGGCAATAAAAATGATTCTGATTCTGAAATTTATTTATTAGGAGGTTGTTATTCCCACTGTCACTAGTTTATGATGGTGTTCTTAACATATACTTTTTATCCATAAAGACAATAAATAGGTTCTGCTGAAAGAAAGGCATGTGAAGGCATAAAAATCAAAATAAATACAAATCTATGTCTTGTGTTCTAATATGAATAGAGTCTGAAAATAAACATATTCTTGTTTTATCACCACTACTGAAAACCTGGGATTGCATTGTCGTTGTTAAAGTTCTACCTACTTGCAGAGAAACGGCTGCATATTTTTAAAAAGTGATACATTTTCTATTCTTAGTGCATTTGTCCTATTAAATCAATGCCATTATGTCATTTGATCCATGCCAGCATTTCTTTTACCTCTTGCCGTCCCAGTTTGAAAATGAGTGGAGTGAATCTTGATTTATCTTTACTTGTTTGAAAATTGACCTTTTGAAATCCAATTCTTGTGCGACCAAATGTGAGCTTTTGCCGTGGAAGAAGACAAACATGGTCATCAACAGGCCGGTGGAATCCTCGTAAATGTTACTAAAGCTTAATACCTTGGAATTAACAATCTATGCCCAATATTTGATTAGAGGGATATCTTGCTATTTCATGATGCACTTAGCAAAGACAAAGCACTGATATAACTATTGATTTTCCCGTAACCGAATAAACAATATGTATATGTTGTGTTTTTGTGGGGGGAATTAAATCAAAATGCACATACGACATCGAAATCCCTCCAAGACTGACATAAATTGAATTTGTCAGTCAAGAATTCGGTTACAGAGTCAAAGACCTGCCCATGCTGTGGCTAAAATGATAGAAGAGGTATTTATAGCCACGTGCTTTTCTTAGCGACATAGTGGTTTTAAATGGGTAGTTTTCACTCAGCAGATGTCTGCGTGTTGGCCCTGGTCGGCACAAATAATACAATGCTCTTTATGGCGCCACAAAATGCTTTCTGCTAACATTAGATTGCCTTTGTCCACTTGTTTTGCAGGTGCGGCTCTGTGGCAAATGGGACTGAATGGAGTCTTGGGCAAGAGGCAGCTACAGGTCAAATAGAAGAGGTTTTCTGCAATGTCTGTGTGTTTTTGAGGATATGTTTCCTTTCTCCTTTGTTTATTTATTTGACACATGTCATTATTTACTTGAATCAATGATGTATGTTATATGAATGCATTTCACATGAATAATTTAAGATAATGCAGCCTTTTTACAGAACCTGAACACACAATGGGATTCTTCGCCATATTCCTTAAAATATTCTGAATGTTGTCTGTAAACTTAATTGAGTTACATTGATGTTGTGCTGCACTTGATTTGGGTTTTTTGCACATTATAAGAACATTTTGTGTATGATAATAATAATGTATTGGTTTTATATAGTGTATTTTGGTCACTCAAAGACGCTTCACATGACATTATTAATTCACTCCATACACAGTGGGGATAAACTTCTATACTGTCGCTACAGCTGCCTTGGGGAAGACTGACAGAAGCGAGGCCATATACAATACAAAGATTTAACTCACCAATTTACGTGTGTATTCGAGGAAAATTACTCTCTATCGACTGTAGACTGAAGAAAAAAAAAGTCCAAGCCCAGGCAAAACCATCAAAAACGACTTTTCTTGAAATTTTCTGACAAACAAGTCCAGACGTCTCCTCGGTTCCAGTGGCGGGTAAAAAATGGGAGGGGCTATGAAAACTTAAAAATGAAAAGCGCTTTAAACTTAACACAATTAGTAATAATGTAAATAACTTTTATTATTTAAGTGTTTCCTTTATAACTCATTCTCTTATAAACAATTGAACTCAAACTATATTTTAGAATAAACCTAAAATTGAAAGGACCATGTTAAATGTATTTATTCAAGTGCATCACATGCAAAACAATATAGGTTAAGTGCATTAGGCTTCTACCAATGAGTTCTGTCTGCCACAGTTATATGATTTTAGTTTTACAAAGAAAATGAATTACCATAAGTGATTATAGCTAAACCATTTGAATGCAATTAACTTTTGGGTTAACAGTGCACCAGTCTGTGCCATCGGCCCCTCCGACCACCACCAACCGTTCACGCACACACCAGACTCCTTTTAGACAATGTGGGTGAAGTGTCTTGCCTAAGGACACAACAACAGTTTGGCACTTTACAGCCACAGCCGCCCCACTGTGACACCTGGAGTTCCCAGAGGTCTCCCATCACAGTACTAACCAGGTTCTGCTCTGCTTAGCTTCAAGTCTGACGGGATCTGGCTTTCACATGCAGGTGGTGCTATAAAAAGAATAGACTGACTGAATTTTATTTTTAAGAATCTACTCAAACTACCAACATACAGTATTTTTATTTTGCACATTTTATCTATAACAAATCCTGACATGCTTGAAATCTGCTCGCATTCATAGCATTTGGTGTAAGTGATGCTTAAGCCTTGGCCCCTCCCCCTCCTCTTCCGCCTCCTGGACCTCTTGCCCCCCGTCTGTCCTGTCCTTCTAATAAGGGCATTATTCCAGTGGATTTCCTGCATTCTGATAAATCAAATTAGGGGAGGCCTCTGACTTAGATAGATTGCGACGAGTAATTAGAGAATCCTCAATGGCTCGGTCACTGCCACTCATTTACACCCGTCGTTGTATCACCTATGGGCCCTGCATGTGTGTATGTGTCTGTCTGTCTGTGTGTGTGTGTGTGTGTGTGTGTTTGCATTTCTTTTCCTTCTTTAAATTCTGTCCTGGTGTCAGCGCAGAGACACATCCGGCTGCACAAACTGTCACCGTGGCGGGAGCGTGGAGCAACGGACAGCGCAGTGGGACGGCCTGTAATTGGTGCAAGTTGCCGTGGTAAGTGTCCGCGGGTGTAAGTGACAAGCGGGAGTGAGCGGAACGAAGGGGAAGCAAGGAGACACAGGGGACGCCGCAGCACAGGTACGCCACGCACTGAGGAAGAGCAGGACATGAGTGAAACAATAGTATGAAGGCCATTTTAAACTGCCTTTTTCTTTGATTGTGCATTGATCTGCTGTATAGTGACTGGATAAGTGTTATTATAATATTTTGAGGATTGTGAAATCTCAATACTGAACTAAAACCAATTCATAAAGTAAATAAACAAGTCCATTGGGAGTTGTGATTATTTTCCTGCACCTTAACGCATCTCTAAGTTCAGATATAGCAGCAGATTCCAGAAGCATGCATGGGGTGGTTGGCGATATTTCCCATTGAATGCTGGAGACCTAACTCACAAAAGACATTTCAGTGGGTTGATTGGATTTTGAAAGATAGAACAAAAAAAATCACATCTTCAGATTCTACATCTACGGATTCATTTGCTCTGTATTCCCCACTCTGCAGTTTAAAACCATATACTATACTTGTTCAATACTTGCACAATACTTACTTCAAAACTTTCTAAGAAACTCCCAAAGTACTCTTGGATCACTTAGGCCACCCTGATATCATGTCTTTAGCTGCATTATTCAAATGCTCAAAGATGGAGTCCCACAGGGATCAGTGATGACACCCATGCTGTTCATGGATGCTCTCATATCCAACTAAGGGATGAAAAATAATGCTTCAACTTAAAGTGACACTAATTAACCTCCAACAGAGGTAAGAGTCAGTCATTAGTACCTTAAAAAACATCCCAAAAAGTGCATGGTATAGCAGTGAACAAGGCATGAAAATTATAGTCAATCAAAACAATCTGTTTCAATAGGCCTGCAGTATTCTGTTTTGTTTACAGTTGCTGGTGATCTTCTCCTTTTTATATGAATTATCTGGCTTCTGTACTTTTCTGTAATAAATGTCTTTTTTAGCTAACACCGAACTAAACCAAAATATATGTACTGTGTACTCCACTAAACAGTACCTCTAAAGGGAATTCATTATTTGTGGTTAGCCATGCTAGTATAGTTAGTATAGCAGGATAACAGCTGCTCTTTTTCCTCTTCTACAGGGTCTGTTTAGTATCATGTTCTGTGCCAGTGTGAAACACAGCAAAAATTGGTATTACTTTTTTACAATAATTTTTTTAAATTATAATTATAATCATTATTATTTATAAAAACCCAGGTTTCAGGACCACAAACCAGAGTGCATTTTTCTACTTGTTTGTTTGTTTGTTTGTTCGTTATGTCATCCAAGCCATTAGAATCAAAGAAAAAAAGAGATACAAATACAGTGTACAAGCAAATCCATTTTTGTTACATTTTATTTCCAATCCATTTTTCTATTCTCACTTTGTTTTCCTCATTCATCAACCTCAAAAGCATTTGTAACCCTAATATCCCTTTCATTGTGGCTGTGGTCCATAAGTCAGCAGAGAGCCCATTGCGCTGGTGTACTTTACAATCATCATGGGGTCTAAAACACTGACAGGTGCACTTGCTCTTGATCTGCTGTGCGCCGTTGTGTCATTTCTCTTCCTTTCTGCGGCCTCCTGTGCGAGCGCCATCACAAACCGTCCTGACACCACTCACTTTTCTCCCCTAAAAAGAATGGATGAAGACGGAGAGCAGAGCGGAGCCGAGTGATGCATGAGGACAGCTCTGCAGTTTGGGGGCTGGTTATATCGAGGCCCAGTTCAAAACAGCTTAGAGTTTTAGTAAATAACTGAAGAAAAGTGACACGATTGAAGTGTTAAGTCCCTTAAATTCTTATCAATAATTATTATAATGTATTAAAGCTAGGATGCCTAACTTTCAAACCACACCAATGGACCTTTGTATTAAAAACCATGAAACTCATTCCTGACTCTAAAATAGTTGTTGCATGTATTTGTAGCTTTTTTTGGACATGAAAGTGAAAAAGAGAGGACTACCCTCGCTCAGCCTAAAACAGGGCACATTTTTGTCCCAAAAGATGAAGATAGAAAGTTCTGTCTGATTTGGTTGCAACATTTTACTTCCACAAGAATCTTTCTGTTGGGACAAACATGGATTCTCTGAAAGTTTTAAAATAGCTTGATTCTGATTTTGGAACTGTGTTTATTAGTAGACTAACTATTAAATCCCTATAAGGTATTTATAGATAGGCTAATAAATACTTGAAGTAACATCATCTCTGACATTCATTATTTTGAAAATGTAACTATTTTTTTTTCATTTAAATCTCAATAATATAGCAAAACAAGATGGATATGTGCTCTGCACCAGAGTGGGGCTATCCCCCACCATCCCCACCCCCCACTCCACTGCAGATGAACAGAGGACATTTTTCTTTACAAATCAAAAATACCAGCACAACCCGGATGAATCAAATGAGAGCAGTGGCGTTGTGGATGCTAAAACAACTTAGCAACATGGTCAAGAGCTGAAAAGAGAAGCCCCATTAAAAGTGTGTTCATTGCTGCTGTATACTTTTGCAGTGCAGCTAAAGGATAAGAAGGCAGGCCAATGAATCCATCAAAATAATGATGAGGGAATGCAGTATTAAAAGCGAATCTTCAGCATCATATGTCCCCTTTAAACACCCCTTCTCTCCATTATCTGGTCAGCGCCAATCTGCAGCCCTATGAAGACGATCACAGACACCATGCACCATTCTAGCAGCTGATGACACGACTAAATATTGATTCTGGCCTCAAACGTGTCAAAATTCCCTGTCATTAATTAGAATCTCCACGCCGCCGCTCCGGAGCTGACAGAATATATTATATTGGTTTGTGAGCAGGAGGGGCAGGAGGAGGGGTATAACTGTGACCTCTTGTCTGGGATCTGTTCTCTTGAGTTTTTTGGTGAATTCACTGCCTTCCTGGTTCCTGATGTTAAATATTATGGAGAAAAGGACTATGACTGGCTGTTCATTCACACAAAACAAAACTCTTTTGGAACAATATCCATGGTCCAAGTCCAAGAACAAAAGAATGTATGTATTTGTATTACTCGACTAGTGAAGTTGCAAAATAAGTTATATTTTGTTCTGAATGTAAGGAGATATATTTTACCTATGGTATTTGTGTGTTTTATACATTTGAGCGAGATTCCAGAACCTTTCTAAATTCAGTTCAGAGTTATACATTATAAATTACCAAGAGTTTGAAGAGTTGTTATGATAAAGAGAAAAGCTTACTATAGGCGTCTCTGTGTAACCTTGTTCACTGTAAAGCTTGTTCTGGCGTCTCGGTGTAACCTGTTCTTAAGAAGTGACCAAATTGTTTATTTTGAAATCTTATTTGACAGTTTAAGTGAAAATTGAAAGAAATGACACCAGCACTGAGTCGGAGGATCCAAAGAGATGTCCATCGAGACGATGGACAATCCTTGATCCTCGAGTGCTGATTAGTCCAATAACAATCAGCACATCTGAGACTGAAGAAAACAAAAGCACTTCTTCAAACGCCTCATCTCCTTGAACGCCACAGAACTGACCATTTGGACTCAGCAAGAGAGCACTAAACATTGACACGTGGAAGAACGTTTTTAAAAACATTTTGGTTTCAAACGTTACTGGCAACCATCAGGCCTTTGCTTGTGTGGTCACAACTATGTATTTCATCAGTTCACGAGGCACATCTTCCAGGAGAATAACAGCACTACCATGTTCCATGGAAATGTCAACATCAGGCACACAGAAACTTATTCTTCAACATTACTCGGGTCCTGTTTGGAACTTTGATTCTTCTTCAAGGAGGGTTTTTTGTTTTTTTGACCCACTCACACTCCCAGTTATTTTATTTTTTTGTTCATTGAAGCTGTACTTAGAACCTTTTTAAAGTCCAACATTTGTTTTTTGTCTTTTTTCAAGTTGTGCTCCATTTTTTGATCAGGACTGTATTGTTTAGTACAAATACAAATTATACTGTATATAATTTGTATTTCCTCACTAATCGGCTCCTACCCAAGTTGCTATCCCAGGACTCAGGCTCACTTCAGGATGGATCCAGTGCCATAAGGTGGTGTTTTCTATTTGTTTGCTTCATGCTTTGGTGCACCAGCCACTGACCTGTGCTGGCCACACTTTACACAAGGGAGGCCTCTGCAGCCAATCAGACCGCAGCACAAAATTAACACTGATCTTTCCATTCTTGAGGAGGGGCCAGGGGAAAATGCCAATTTCTTAGCAATGTGTTGAGTCACATTTAATTAAAGGGGAAATGAGGATGCCCTGTGAAAATATAAAGTGCCAATGCTACAGTACAACATAATATTTCCTTGTGATCTTTTTAAGCATCTATGTGGTTTTCTTACATAATGAACCATTACTCCGTTGTTGCAGTTGTACACTATTAAACCCTCTCCCTGTTTAGTTTGGTTGGAATACAGGTATAATCTCGTCTATCAGAATCAATAAATAATTACTAAAACTCATATGTGACCCAACATTGAACCTTGGTCCCTGTGTTCAATTGTAAGATCTGTATAATTTCCAACATAGATATTGCACTCATTTCAAATACAAACCACAGTGTTTATTTTATCTCTATCCACCTCTGCTCTACTTTGCCATTTTAATATTCAGATACTTCTCGAATATTCTAATATCATCCGATTATTTTGGTGCGTGTGGGGGGAATTCAATCCGATCCCCAGGATTCACTACATGCAATATTCATAGTTGATCCATTGAGTGCATTGGGCGCGGGAACTATTTGAAGAGGAAAGTTCATGTGCATGTTGATGGATTGTGCATGTCTGGGCCTACTCTATATGGATAGAGAGCTTGTTTGAAGGTCAGTGCTTCTCTTAGGCTGCCGTGGGTGCCTCCTTTCCCCTCGCGTTGGGTTGCTCCCTCCGTGGATGACGGGGTTGGGGCGACCCGGGTGAAAGTGAATCTTTTTGAGGGCTCCTTCTCCTCTGTCACTGAGAGCTCCTCCAGACAGGCCTTTCATAGAAAATATACACTTTC